TACGACCAGCTGGCCGACGAACTGGAGCCAAAGGTCAAGCTACTGGATCCCAACAGTGTGGACCTCAGTCCTTCCAAGCAGGAAAACAGCGAACTGGAGACAGAGGCCAAGTCCTATGCCAAGCAGGTCAACCAAACACTGGCCAACGCCCTGGACATTCGTGAGCGATCGAGCACCACTTTGGGCAACATCACAGTGGCCTATGACGAGGCGATCAAGAGTGCTGGCCAGGCCAAGGAGGCCATCTCTGCAGTGGAGGCCCTTTCCAAGAATCTGGAGGCAGCGGCGAGCACAAAGCTGGATGCGGCTCTGGAACAAGCCCAACACATCTTGGGTCAAATCAACGCCACCAGCATTGAACTTACACCCAATGAGCAAGTATTGGAAAAGGCCAGGAAACTCTATGAGGAGGTCAACACCCTGGTGCTGCCCATCAAGGAGCAGAACAAGAGCCTGAATGCCCTGAAGAATGACATTGGGGAGTTCAGCGATCACCTGGAGGACCTCTTCAACTGGAGCGAGGAAGCGCAGGCCAAGTCCGCCGATGTGGAGCGCAGGAATGTGGCCAACCAAAAGACCTTTGACAACTCCAAATTCGACACCGTCTCGGAGCAAAAGCTACAGGCGGAGAAGAACATCAAGGATGCGGGCCATTACCTGATCAACGGAGATTTGACGCTCAGTCAAATCAACCAGAAGTTGGATAGCTTGAGGGATGCCTTTGTTGACCTCACGTCGGTCAACAAACACGTGGACGATGATTTGCCCCTGAGGGAGGAGCAGCACAACGAGGCCGATGCCCTGACCGCGCAGGCGGAGCTGAAGGCGGACGAGTTGGCCGTCAAGGCACAGGATCTGGCTGCCCAGTACACGGATATGACCGCCAGTGCGGAGCCAGCCATCAAGGCGGCCAGTGCCTACTCAGGAATCGTAGAGGCCGTGGACGCTGCCCAGAAACTCAGCCAAGATGCGATTGCTGCGGCTGGCAAGGCCACCGAAATGACAGATGGCATCGAAGAGCGAGCCGGTCAAGCCGACACTGGATCTGCTGATCTCCTCCAGAAGGCCCGCCAGTCCCTGCAGAAGGTTCAAGACGACCTGGAGCCACGTCTAAACGGTTCGGCTAGCAAGGTCCAAAAGATCTCCGCCGTTCACACTGCCACCGAACAGCAGCTGAGGGACATTAACGCTCTGATCGAGCAACTGCCGGCTGAATCCCAGAGAGATATGTGGAAGAAATCGAATGCCAATGCCAGCGATGCACTGGAGATCCTGAAGAATGTCCTGGAAATACTCGAACCAGTGAGTGCTCAAACGCCAAAGGAACTCGAAAAGGCGCACGGCATCAATAGGGACTTGGATCTGACCAACAAGGACATCTCGCAGTCCAACAAACAGTTGGACGATGTCGAGGGTTCCGTCTCGAAACTGAACGAACTGGCGGAGGATATCGAGGAACAGCAACAGCAAGTGGGCGCTCAGACCCTGCAGTTGGGCCAGGAAATCGAGAATCTAAAGGCCCAGGTGGAGGCCGCTCGCCAATTGGCCAACAGCATCAAGGTGGGCGTTAAATTCAAGCCAAGCACTATCCTCGAACTGAAGACACCGGAAAAGACCAAGCTGCTGGCCACCCGCACCAATCTATCGACCTACTTCCGCACCACGGAACCGAACGGATTCCTTTTGTACCTGGGCAATGACAACAAGACCGCCCAGAAGAACAATGATTTCGTGGCCGTGGAGATTGTGAATGGCTATCCCATTCTCACCATCGATTTGGGCAACGGTCCGGAGCGCATCACCAGCGATAAGTACGTGGCAGATGGCCAGTGGTACCAGGCTGTGGTCGATCGTATGGGTCCCAAGGCCACGCTTACGATCAGGGAGGAACTACCCAACGGCACGGTTGTGGATCACAAGAAGAGCGCTCCCCTCGAGGGTTCGCAGAATATCCTCCATGTGGATAAGAATAGTCGCCTCTTTGTGGGCGGCTATCCGGGCATATCGGACTTCAATGCTCCCACAGACCTGACCACCAACTCCTTCAACGGCGACATCGAGGATCTGAAGATCGGCGACGAGAGTGTGGGACTGTGGAACTTTGTTAATGGCCAGGAGAACGAGGAGGGCGCCCGGGAGCGGGATGTGCTGCTCGAGAAGAAAAAGCCGGTTACGGGCTTACGATTCAAGGGCAACGGCTATGTCCAGCTGAACGCCACCTCGAACTTCAAGACCCGCTCCAGCATCCAGTTCAGCTTCAAGGCGGACAAGGACACGTCCAATGGGCTGCTCTTCTTCTACGGCAGGGATAAGCACTACATGAGCATCGAGATGATCGACGGAGCCATCTTCTTCAACATTAGTTTGGGCGTTGGTGGAGGCGTTCAGTCCGGCAGCCAGGATCGCTACAATGACAACCAGTGGCACAAGGTCCAGGCGGAGCGGGAGAATCGAAACGGTCTTCTCAAGGTGGACGACATCGTCATATCCCGGACAAATGCTCCACTGGAGGCGGACTTGGAGCTGCCCAAGCTGAGACGACTGTACTTCGGTGGACATCCCAGACGTCAGAACAACTCGATTAGTTTGCAGCCCAACTTTGATGGCTGCATCGACAATGTGGTGATCAATCAAGGAGTTGTGGACCTGACGGAATACGTCTCTGGCGGCGGAGTGGAGGAGGGCTGCTCGGCTAAGTACTCCACGGTGCTGTCCTATGCACCGCATGAGTACGGTTTCTTGAGGATGAACAACATTTCCTCGGATAACGATCTGCATGTGGTGCTGCACTTCAAGACCACCCAGCCGAATGGCGTTATCTTCTATGCCGCCAATCATGACCAGAGTTCGAACATTGGCCTTAGCCTGCAAGATGGTTTGCTGAAGCTCAACAGCATGGGCAGCCAGTTGGTGGTCGATGATCTTATACTCAACGATGGAGAGGATCATGTGGTTACGGTGCAGCACATCCAGAACGAACTGCGTCTCTCGGTGGACGATGTCGAGCACAGGAGGTGGGTTCATCTCATGGTACTTTCTCTTGGGTTCCTTTGCTAATCTATATTTTTGTGTATCTTAAGATTTGGCTCCCCGCAACCGCTGATTCTGGAGGGTGGCGACATCTTCTTCGCTGGCTTGCCGGACAACTATCGAACACCCAGAAACGCGTTGGCCAGTTTGGCCTACTTCGTCGGCTGCATCAGCGATGTGACCGTGAACAATGAGGTCATTAACTTTGCCAACAGTGCTGAGAGGAAGAACGGCAACATCAACAGCTGTCCTCCACATGTACTAGGTGAGTTCATAGGATAGGATTGTCCCTTGCTGTCTATTATATCATGTATGCTCTTTCGTAACAGCCTACGAGCCAAGTCTGGTGCCCAGCTACTATCCCAGTGGAGACAACGAGGTGGAGTCCCCTTGGCCAAACCCCGAAACACTGCCCCCACTCAAGCCAGATATCGAGGCCACAGAAGCACCCACCTGGCCCACTACGACAGCAACCAGCACTACGACTACTACCACCACAACAACCACTTCGACAACGACGACAACGACCAGCACCACTCAAGCACCGATCTTCTTCGATGCGGATAAGGACCAAGAGTTTAGGGCTCCGCCAAAGACCCTAACCACCCGGCCACCGGCCAAGCTGAATCTGCCCAGCGATGAGCGCTGCAAACTGCCGGAGCAGCCCAACTTCGATGTAGACTTCGCGGAGGCGGGATACCGATTCTACGGGCTCAGAGAGCAGCGCCTGGAGATCACCTCGTTGCCGGTGAAGCTGCGCCGCCAGCATGACATCGGCATCTCCTTCCGCACGGAGCGACCCAACGGCCTGCTCATCTTCGCCCCAAGTATCAAGCAGCGCGAGGACTTTATAGCCGTGTATCTCCTGGACGGTAAGGTGACGTACGAGATTCGGGTGGGTGCACTGCTGGAGGCGAAGATCACCAGCGAGGCAGAGCTGAACGACGGCTCGTGGCACAGCGTGGAGGTGGTGCGCACCCAGCGCAAGGTCACTCTGCTCATCGACAAGTTGGAGCAGGCGGGATCGGTGGATCTGAGCACGGAGAGGAGTCCTCCGCTGTTCGATGTCCAGTTGCCCATCTATGTGGGTGGCGTTACCAAGTTCCTGGAGCCGGAGGTCAAGAAACTCACCGGCTTTGTTACGGATGTGCCCTTCTACAACGGCTGCCTCAAGAACATCAAGTTCAACGCCGTCGATTTGGAGACGCCGCCGGAGGAGTACGGAGTTGTTCCGTGCTCCGAGCAGGTGGAACGCGGGCTGTTCTTCAACAACCAGAAGTCGTTCGTTAAGATCTTTGACCACTTTGATGTCGGCACCGAGATGAAGATCAGCTTTGATTTCCGGCCGAGGGATCCGAACGGTCTGCTCTTCTCCGTGCACGGCAAGAACTCCTATGCCATCCTCGAGCTGGTTGACAATACCCTATTCTTCACCGTGAAAACCGATGTCAAGAACATTGTGTCTACCAACTATAAGCTGCCCAATAACGAAAGCTTCTGCGATGGAAAGACACGCAACGTTCAGGCCATCAAATCGAAGTTTGTCATAAACATAGCCGTGGACTTTATAAGCTCCAATCCGGGCGTGGGCAACGAAGGATCGGTTGCCACAAGGACGAACCGACCGCTGTTCCTGGGCGGACATGCTGCCTTCCAAAAGGCACCGGGCATCAGGACCAAGAAGTCCTTCAAGGGCTGCATCAGCAAGGTGGAGGTCAACCAAAAGATGATCGACATTACGCCCGACAAGGTCGTTGGTGATATATGGCAGGGTTACTGCCCCCTGAACTAATGAAGATCCTCGAAAATACTTAAGGACCAATGATTTAATTTGACCAAAACTACGAACAACTGCCAGGGAATATCTAAAGTTGCCGACAACTGCTAATCAAAGGACAACGATCGAACAAATTTTCAACGAACAAAATCGACATGCCATGGAAAAGTCAAGGGTTATCATAGATAATTGACCCTCAGCAAAGATGCCAGTCGTATATTTCTTAGTACTTTAAGCCAAACTTCTGTGTGCCAATCTTTAAAGCCATATACATACATACTTCATTTGTATGCTTTCAATCTTTTAAAACTCTTCAAGTCACTCTATGAATTTTATAACTTTGTCAAATCAATAAATATAACAATTTTAATAAAAGTAAAAGCTTCTTAGGTTGCTTCATTTTTTATCGTTATTTCTCTGACCGAGGTACAGTTCTCAAATTCCAAAGTGCTTTTCAAGAAACTAAAGTGATTGAGTCACTGAATTTCAGACATTCGTTTAGGGATGTTACTCATTTTTAGGGTTTTTATTGTTATTTGACAATTTAAATTTTACATAATATGTTATTGTAAAAACCATAAGAAATACATACTTCTTAATTGTGCACAAATATTTTTGATTTTTCCAAATTTTTTTGTCTCTTTTCGTTCATTAATTTCTTGAAAATGTCATCTTTTTTCTTTTCCATAAGCTTTCAATTAGAAAATTAGAATTTGTAACAGGCTAAAATAAGCTGTGGCTGGTCTCAGATGTTGTACAAGGCAATCAAGCGCTCAACCAAAACTTTTGGAAATTGATCTACATAACGAGACCAGTTTTGTTCACATACGTGGATCTTGAAACCATGAAGGACCTGGAATATTCATCGAGTTAGTTGAGAAAACACGAACTTTAGGAAATAGATTACTTTCTGAATCGCCAGCCGCAGATCCTGCGGGGGATTCACCCACGAGGCAATAGCATCACAGAAAAATATAAAGTCGGGTACCGCGGCGGATACATCCACCGAGATCATATGACACATTCCAATAAAGGCCGAATACTTCTCTTGATTGTCTTTAATGCGGCGTAACGTTGTGCACCTTAAATTAAAAAGGGGAGAAAAAGGGAACTTTAAAAAACACAAGCTAGTTAAGTTTATTCATGTTACCCACCACTGTCGTAAAAAAGATGGCAAATAAGGAGCTACTTCTACTTGGCACACACAACCTAAACGACCGATTGTGATTGCTAGAACAAAATAAAGTACATAAACGTTTTTAATAGGATTGATTCCTACACAGCTCGGAAGAATCCCAAAAGACTTACCTGCATTTTCTAGGACACTCCTGGGCGTGTTTGGGCGGTTGATGATGATGATCAGGTCGCTGAGTACCAGACCTACGTACTGCTTTGTCTCCTCACCTTTGAAACCAAATACAAAATGAATATTATGGTGTTACTCCCAAAAATATGTCTTCATACTCACCCAGATTCAAGCAGATCTCGCCCATGGCCCAGATGACATTGTTGCACACCGGAATAAAATTTGGGTTCAAGTTCTGCACCAAGAAGGGAAAACATTCGGCCATGAAGGGATGCACATGGGGGAAACAGACCCTGGTCAGATCACCAAGCAGGGCAAATGCAGATTGACGCACCTTTAAATTTATAATTTCATTGTAATCTAAGCATAGTTAAGGTCGGTTTAAAGAAGACATACGTCCGGCTGAACGTCCTGCATGCATTGTAAGAGCAGATGCATGAGATTGCTGTTGGCCACCAGTGACTCGATGTGGAGATTCAAACCCTCTGCTAGGCCAGACAGCAGGTCTAGGGCAACAACCATGCGGTCTTTATCGGGATGATCAGACGATTGGTTCTGTTTGCACAGCTTGAGAAGATTTAAGTTGATTTAATCATGTAACATTAATCAACCCTCGTTTCTTACCATTTCCTGGTTGATGGTCTGCTCAATGAGGGAGATGCATCTCCGAAAGACCGGCTCACAGTAGGCAAAAAAACCGAATTGCAAGGCAGTGGCGATGTTTGACAGGCACTCCAGCAACGGAAACAGGTCCTTGTCGTCGTCCTTAACCTGGTTCCACTTGTCGATAAGCGGCGGCATTAGGATGTTAATGTACTGCGGCTTGTTTAGATGGTGACCCACGGAATCTGCCAAGGTACCGACGGCGTCATACAGGATCAGCATATTTTTGTGCTGGTACTTGGAGAAGGCCAAGACGAGCGTCTTAAGAATGTACTCCAAGTAGGGCACCAGATCCGTACAGGCCTCCTCCTCCAAAACGCACAGGGCAGAGCATGCGGCCTCCTGGACGCCCTTATTGGAATCTAAAATATGCCTCAGCACCTTCTTCAAAAGCGGCTTCAAGTACTGGTCGTGCGGCTGGTTGACCACCCAATTGGCGTACCGTGAGATCGTCCAAAACGATATAGAGCGTATCAGCGCCTTCTTGTCGGACAGACAATATATCAGGTAGGGAACCAGCTCTGCCAAATGCCGAACCATGCCCTGCATACAGCCGCCGGCTATGGCTCCCAGGGCCAACACACCACTCTCCTTGACCACCCACTCTTGGTGGAAGAGTGTTTCCTTTAAAATGGGCAACACAACGGGCAAAAAATCCTCACGGAAAACTTTGGCTAGTGCGTCGAGAGCGGAAGCGCTGCACTTGCGCAGGTTCCATTCCAAAAGCGACTTATTGTCCTCCGGTTCGTCGTCCAATTCATCGTTTACAACATGTCTGCGAGACCTGTGGAAGCGCGGACTGATGTCCTCCTCTTGATCCGGCACCATACAATCCTCTTCTTCGTCGCACTTTAGAAGAATAATCTCGAGCTCAGAGTAACGCATGCTATGTACAAGAACTGGTGCTAACTGGGACAGAACAGGAGCAAGCAGCTCCTTGCAGTTGCTCTTCTCCGCTAGCGACAGCCAGAACTCAAAGGCCTGCAGGGCCACGGCCTCATCGGAGTCCTGGGTACGCAGCAACATGTACTGCAATTGGATAATGAAAATAAATCCCAATTCAGAGATAATCTGAACATTTCCTCAAGATTTTCTACCTCAATGATCTGCGACATGTGCGGCATAAGGCGGTCCATCCGCACCTCCAGCAGCATGACCAATCCATGGCAGACGTTCTTGCGCACCTCGTGATCCTCATCCGAGGATAAGTGGAAAAGGTTCTCAATAAAGCTGTCTATGTCTTGCGTTAGAGTAAGTGATCTCTTGATGATGAACTGGTTGAAGCACACTATGGCGTGGCAGCGGATCTTGGGACTGCTGTGCCCGAAGTACTTGAGGAACTTGGGAATCATCATGTTAAGCGGCCAGTTGAGTCCTGGGGAGTCTAGGTTGCCCGCGGAGTCCTCGCAGATCAGCTGCAGCGCACTGAAGGCTCCCTCGCACACGTTGTAGTCCTGGGAGTCGAGCATGTCGCAGAGCAAGGGCAGAAGCTGCGGCCAGTTGTGCAGGCCTCCACAGCTGGCGATGGTGGTGATCAGGATGCTCACGGTGGCTCGGATCAGGGGCGAGGAGTCACCCACTGCCTGCAGACACTCGTCTTTGATGTACTCCACGATCGCTGGCTGCAGATTGCTGCCATGCGTAAGGATGTTGTTCTTGAGGATCAGGCCACTCATCGCGCGCGTGTGCTCATCTTCCGTTGTAAGTTTAGTCAGGACATAGACGAGATAGTTGTTGAAGTCCGGATAGTGATTGAACTCCTCCAGTTTCTGTGGGCAAAGCGAATGCGAATTGCGAAACAGTCAGTAGGGGATAACTTACCGTTTGTACTGCAATCTGCATGGCTGTGTCCGGCAACTGCGAGTCCTTAAGAATCGGAAGGAGCTGCTGCAGACCCTCTTCCCGTGGCCCCCATGTCATTTTGTTGCTTCGACGAGAGTTGGCTGGGTTTCGTGTAAAATTGTAAAATTGGGTTTATGTCGTTGCCAGTTGAAGCAACTGGAGTGATTGAGAGTGACACCTCGTTCTGGGCCACCTACTCACATCACCTACCGATCGTTTCTTGGAACTTTATGGACCACCAAGTTTCAGAATGTTTATCATAACTATTTTCAAAGTATATGCCTTGATTATAGATACTAGTTGCCATATTAACTTTGTAAATAATCTACTTTTTATCCAAATTAAACAATTTTTCATTGATGGTAATGTTATACATACATATTTATTCATATATATATTTTTCAATTTACAGAAATCTCGATAGTTGAATTTTGAAATGGAGTTTTAGTTAAACAAATATTTAAACTCCCGAGGAATAATCCATATAGCTAGATGTAGGGATTATACATACATGCATGTACTTCATATGTATATATGTGTATGGTTTTAATGTATATATATATGCATATTCAATTTCGTTAGACATTTGCAGACCTTTTGTTAACCGAGTTAGTGACAGTGGATTTAAATATAAGGGATTACAGGATATAAACCTATCAGAGTTGTGTGTGCTGGATGAACTGTAAGTGTTATAAGTGGTGTGTGAAGTGTTAAAATTAAAACAATATTTACTAGGCTTGGTCTGGATTTACTTAAATAAACAACAAAGGCGAAAGATTGTGTTTGTGTAGAGGACTAAAAACACTTGGGTAGTTTTCTTCATAATTTTAATTACATACACGCGATAATGTAATAAATAAAAAATAAAAATTTTCTAGTGCTGCACAAATCTATTTTGATTTCCTGTTTTTGTTACGTTTTGCTTTTAATTAATTTGTTGCCCTAACTTGACCTAACATTTAGTTTTTTTTTTAAGTTCCCTACTCTTTTTTTTTTGGTTTGCCCTATCATAGTGAAAAACAATAGTAAGAACAAAAACCTATTCTGCATAAAATCTATAAATATATTTTATATAGTTGTATATGTGTGGTGTGTATATGTTCAATGTTGTGTGTGTGTGTGTAGTTGTAGTGTTGCTTCAGTTTTTTAAATTATTTTTTATCTGCTTAAACGCTAATCACTAAGATCACCCGAGAGAGATACAAACGCACGCGAACGCGACCGGATTCCGCGATGAATCCGGATTAAGGTACAACGAAATCACGATTTTCCATTTTAGTTTAGTTTCAGTTTTAGCTATTGCTTCACTTCGATTTAGTTAGACCGTATTATAGTTATCAAGTATTGCGATTATTATTTGGGACTCGGGGGCGAAAGTCCCTTATTGTTAGTTTTTAAGTTTGTTGAGTTTAACGCGACGCGAACGAACGACCCGAAGTTACTTTATTATCACACGTTCCCCCATTTTTGAAACGAAATAAAAACACAAACGTAAACACGGTTTGCATAATTACATAATACTATTACTTAGATTTACTTGGTTATCTTCCTGCTTCATAATCTTCCATTTATTTGTGTTTGACTGAGTTTTGGTTTTCCCTAGTTTTATTTTTCTTTTTTGTTTTTAGTTGTTCCGCGACAATTTCAAAGACTTTTGTTTCCATTTAGTAGTACACTTTACACCTAATCGTATAATTGTAAAAAATTTGTTCTGTACAAACATCATAAATTATGAAGGTTACGCAAAACACGAGCCTATACAAATTATACCAAAGTTTGAAGAAAATAATAATAGTTAATTAATTACACTTGTCCCTATACAAAAAAAAATTATATAATAATACTTTAAAAAGTGATCAGTCAATGGTTGCTTTTGTATTCAGTTAAAGGATCGCACAAAAATAAATAAGATACTCAACAAAATCCTAATCTCAATTTCATATTTTTTCCCTATTTGCTTTTCGCTCTCACAATGCGTAAAAAAACACCTAATTTTGTATAGCATATGAATATCATGTAGTGTATAAGTAAATTTGTATCAGTAACAGTTGCAATATTATCGTTATCCTTGTATTATTTTCTTTCATTTTTCAATTTTCATTACCCGACGAGATACCACGAACGACGATTACGATTTTAAACGAACGAGCGACGAAAATACGCGAACGCGAAACCGTAAGAACCCGAAACGCGACGATTTTTCTTTCTTTTGAATATTATTTAAGTGCTGAAAGTGTTGGATTCTCCTGTGAAATTCAAATCGGCTGTTGATGAATGCTTTCTATGGTTTTTGAACGGAGTTGAACATCAGTCTTTGTTTGATTTGTAACATTTTCCTCAGCTGAAGCTTATCGTTTGCATGCGCAATTGAATCCATTTTTCCATTTCTGATCCTTAGATTTCACAACAGCCCCAACACTTTCATCTTTCAACGATTTAGTTAAGTTAGTTTATAATTACCGCGACACGAACCCGCAATATCATTAGTTTCGACGATTTTCCGTTTAGTTTTTTTCTATTACCTATGAGAGACACCCGTGTGCTCTCCATATTGAACTCTATTTTCGGTTTGGGCTTGGGGGTGAGTGTATTGGAGGGTTGGGCATGTCTACTATAGCACTGACTCCGGTTAAGTACGGCCGGAACACAAAATTTTCCTGTAGTTCCTATTGAGTTTTTTGCACGATAAAGGCATTTTATATGCACTAAGCGGACAGACGAATGCCTAGAGAGGTTCTACAGATCTAAGATCCTCTAGTTTGACTTCGAATATAAATGTGATTCTTCTCTATTAGATTTATCGATATATGTATGTGGTTATAAATCTGGTATGCAGTTGCTTTTATGTGAATTTGCTGTTTTTTTCGACTTCTATAAGCATAGATTTCAATGGTAACGTATCATTCGAACTGCATCGAATCTGATAACTTAGGGAGGCTAAAGATTAAGACGACACGCTTACTACGCATACTTGTACATAATTGTCTAGTTAAGATGTTGCTGCTTGGCTCACTAGTGGGTGCAGGTGGGTGTATTATAGCCTGGCTGGCCTTAGATGTTGTACATTGTGGCCAGGCGCTCGGCCAGGGTTGGCGGGAATTGCTCCACAAATCGTCGCCAGTTTTCCTCACCCACTTGGGTCTTGAAGCCGTGGAGAATCTGAGAGAATATTTGTTTAAAATAATGAAAAACGAACCCTAATGGTGTAACTAACCTTTTGGATCATCTGGTGCAGATCCTGTGGGGGATTAACCCACGACGCGATGGCATCGCAGAAGAATATGAAGTCGGGCACCACGCCAGCTGGATTTACCGTGATCATATGACACATTCCACGGAAGGCCGAGTCCTTTTCATCATTATCTCGTATGTGCCGCAGTGATGTGCACCTGCATTTTTTTATAAAGAGCGTTTAGATGGCGTTTCAACAGACAGTAAATCAAATAAGCAGGCTTTGGCAAACACGAAAGTTTTAAGGCAAATTTGAAACTCCAGTTAAATGTTGTTGAAAAAATGTTCAAGTAATGAGTGTTTAATTGTTAGAGATAAAAGGATTGGATGGGTATAATTATACGTTTCAGTGTTAAAGCGCAATTTGAGTTATGGCACGGGAAGGATAGATAAGAGAATAGAAAGAAAGAATAAGCTAGTTAAATAGAAAAACGTGTTACACACCACTGTCGTACAAATTCGGGCAAATAAGGAGCCACTTCAACTGGGCACACATAACCTAGACGACCGATTGTTATTGCTAAAAGAACAGAAGAAATAAGTATAAATAAATCAACTGAATAAATCAATATCACACGTAGTTTGCTTTGATTGATTGCTGAACTCGAATTGAATATCAATTGCGATTCTCGTCTATCTATATCTATGCATGTTGTATGGGAATGAGGTTCGATTTCGTTTCGTTGCTGCTCGTGCAACAAGTAACACAAATTAAAACAGAAACAAGGTTCCAGACATCCACATACGCACATACATACAGAATCATATATATACAAACAAATCGCATATAAATTCTTAGACAGCTTAGACAGAAATTCGAAAGACTTGGGTCAGCCCAAACGGCTCACCTGTATTCTCCAGCAGAGTCTTGGGCGTGTTCGGGCGGTTGATAATGATAAATAGGTCGCTGAGTACAAGGCGTATGTACTGCTTGGTCTCCTCGCCTACGAAGCAAAATATAAAATTAGTATTGTTAAGTTACACCTTAAAAAGATATCCATACTCACCCAGTTTCATGCAAATCTCGCCAATGGCCCATGTGGCATTGTTGCACACCGAAATAAAGTCGGGGTTGAGGTTTTGCCCTAAGATGGGGAAAAACTCGGCCATGAAGGGATGCACATGGGGGAAACAGGCCTTAGTCAGATCACCAAGCAGGGCAAACGAAGATTGGCGCACCTAAAAAATGATATTTTATTTGTGATGGGTCGTTCTAGCAGCTTTCTTTCAAGAAGACGTACCTCCGGCAAAACGTCCTGCATGCACTGGTAGAGCAGATGCATGATGTTGCTATTGGCCACCAGTGTCTCGATGTGGCGATCCAGGCCCTCGGCTAAACCAGACAACAGATCTAGGGCAACTATCATGCGCTCTTTGTCGGGATGATCAAACGTTTGGTTTTGTTTGCACAACTTGAGAAGATTTAAATTGATTAAAACATGTTACATAAGAGTATCTTTTTTACTTACCATTTCCTGGTTGATGGTCTGCTCAATAAGAGAGATACATCTCCTATAGACCGGGTCGCAGTAGGGCAAGAAACCGGACTGCAAGGCAGTGGCGATGCTCGATAGGCACTCCAGCAAAGGGAATAGGTCTTTGTCGTCGTCCTTAAGCAGATTCCACTTGTCGATTAGCGGCGGCATTAGGATGTCAATAAACTGCGGCTTGTTTAGATGGTGACCCACGGAATCAGCCAAAGTACCGACGGCATCATACAGGATCAGCAGATTCTTGTGCTGATACTTGGAGAAGGCGAAGACGAGCGTCTTCAGAATGTACTCCAAGTAGGGCACCAGTTCTGTGCAGGCCTCCTCTTCCAACGTTGCAAAAGCAGAACATGCAGCCTCTTGGACCCGCTTATTTGAGTCCAGTATTCGCTTCAGCAGCTCCTCCATCAGCGGCTTCAAATATTGGTCGTGCGGTTGGTTGACTACCCAATTTGCGTACCTTGATAGCGTCCAGCATGTGATGGATCGCACCAGCGCCTTCTTGTCCGACAAACAGCTTATCAGGTATGGAATCAGCTCTGGCAAGTGCTGAATCATGCCCTGCATGCAACCCTCGGCTATGGCTCCCAGGGCCAGCACACCGCTCTCCTTGATCACCCACTCTTGGTGGAACAGAGTTTCCTTTAAAATGGGCAACACAACGGGCAAACAGTCCTCACGGAACACATTGGCTAGCACATCGAGGGCGGCAGCGCTGCACTTGCGCAAATTCCATTCTGATAGCGAACTATCGTCGTCCAATCCATCGTCAAACTCGTCGTCATCATCCTCGCCTGTAGCTCCTGCTCCCGCCTCTTGAGTACTCTTGATCGTATGCGCGCGGGACTTGTGGAATCGTGGGCGTATGTCCTCCTCGCGATCGGGCACCATGTCATCCTCTTCGACATTACCTTTCAGTAAAATTATGTCGACCTCAGAGTAACGCATGCCACGTACAAGAACTGGAGCCAACTGGGATAAGAAAGGAGCAAGCACATCCTTGCAGATGCTTTGCTCCGCCAGCGACAGCCAGAACTCGGAGGCCTCCAGAGCCACACCCTCGTCGGAGTCTTGGGTGCGCAGCAACATGTACTAAAATAAGTTAGGTAATGTATATTAACTAAATATATTATTTATTTTGATTATTTTCCCGAGATTTCTCACCTCAATGATCTGCGACATGTGCGGCATAAGGCGGTCCATGCGCACCTCCAGTAGCATGACCAATCCGTGGCAGACGTTCTTGCGCACCTCGTGGTCCTCATCCGAGGACAGGTGGAAAAGGTTCTCAATGAACGTGTCTATGTTTAGCATAAGGGCCTGTGATCGGTTTATTATAAATTGGTTGATGCAGGCAATGGCGTGGGAGCGGATTTTTGGACTGCTGTGCTTGAAGTACTGCAGGAACTTTGGGATCATAACGTTAAGCGGCCTGTTAAGCGCCGCTGAGTCCAGAATCTCAGCAGAGTCCTCGCAGATCTTCTGCAACGCACTGAAGGCTCCTTCGCAGACGTTGTAGTCCTGGGCGTCGAGCATATCGCAGAGTGAGGGCAGAAGCTGCGGCCAGTTGTGCAGGCCTCCATTACTGGCGATGGTGGTGATCAGGATACCCACGGTGGCTCGGATCAGGGGCGAGGAATCGCCCACAGCCTGTAGGCACTCGTGTTTGATGTACTCCACGATCTCCGGCTGCAGATTGCTGCCGTGCATGCGGATGTTGTTCTTGAGGATCAGGCCGCTGAGCGAGCGCGTGGGCTCGTCCTCTGTCTTCAGTTTGGTCAGCACATAGATGAGATAGTTGTTGAAGTCTGGGTAGCGATTGAACTCCTCCAGTTTCTGAAGAGCAGAATAAACAAAATAAGGGTTTGTTTGCGAAGTGTTTGGGTCCTCACTACTCACCATCTGTACGGCCATCTGGGTGGCTGTGTCCGGTGACTGCGACTCCTTGAGGATCGCTATGATCTGCTGCAGACCTTCTCCCTGTGGTTCCCACGTCATGTTGCTGCTGCAAGGGCAAATTGACTGGGCTTTAGTTTTGAATAGTGAATTAGGAACTTGGAATTAGGGTTAATGCCCTCGCAAGGGGTAGCAACTGGGGGAGAAAGAGAGAGAGTGAGAGAGGCACTCTGTTCGAGGCCACTCACGCACACCAGCGCATTCTGCACACACCCGCGCGCGGACATCTGCTGTTGTGAAATATATGTACGTGTTCCGTGCGATTTTCCCCTGGCACATTATGGGTTTACGGCAGACGGAGCCAGATGAAAGCCCTTCCCCGCGAGGAACATGCGATTTCCTGCCCAGAACCCCAGATAGAAGGAAAAACCCCGAAGAGAACCCGCCTACCTCCGCCATATTCTGTGAGGCACAGTCAAGCCTAGGAAAAATGCGTTTCCGCCGAATATCTGGCATTACCCGCCATTCCCTTACTCACCTTTGGGGGTTTTCTGTGCTTTATAACTAGTTTGGTTGGAATTATCTTAAGTTTTTCTGCGAATTTTCTCTTTTTTCACCTTTTCTTCGCACAATTAGCAGAATAGCGTAGTGTGACCGTGCAAGAGCGAGGGAGTATGCTATTCGGCTGCTAGAGATGGGGGCATGCTATGGCGGAGTTATTATTAATATTAACTCAAAACTTTCTCGAAGTTTAATTTATTTTTAATATTAAAATGAGGATAATATAAAACAAAATTATTAGAAGCACAAAATGTGTCACTTAAAATATTTTAATAAAAGAATTCGAAAAGAAAAACTTTATAATTAACGTTTTTATTAGTGTACGTTTTAGAATATATTTTTTAAAACTTAAAAGAGAATATTTATTATATCCTCATAATTTTTGTATATATTTTAAGGCGCATTTTTATGTTCCTCGTGCTCTGATATATCGGCTTGAACTTGTTCATCTCTAGATGCTCCCACGGAAATGCAGCCCTACTCGAGTGCTGCCACACTCTCCCACTACTACTTTAGAGTGCCCGCATTCGCCACCCTGGTCAATTTTGTTTGGGTTTGAGGCCAGACAGAGGAGTCATTAATTTTAAACAAAGGACCACGCTTCAGGACATTCATCCCGTGTCGGACAAAGCCGCGTCTCGCTTTCCCCACGGTCGAGTGAAAGTTTCTCGCCTTGTCGCAGTTTAACATCCGAAGCGACCGGACATGAACAAGCGCAACCATGTGAGAAGAAAACCTGGACTGCAACTCCATAGACAAAGTAAATGGATTCTGGGGAGAAACTAAAGCATTTCTTTTGCAGATCCGCCTGCCGCCAGAGGTAAATCGGCTGCTGTACGTGCGCAACCTGCCGTACAAAATCACCTCCGACGAGATGTACGACATTTTCGGCAAATTCGGGGCCATCCGACAGATACGCGTGTAAGTTAGAAAATGCCTGTTTCGCACGCCGGAATCCTCTCAAGAAATCCTCTCTGCATCCCTTACAGGGGCAACACTCCAGAAACGCGTGGCACCGCCTTTGTCGTCTACGAGGACATCTTCGATGCCAAGAACGCCTGCGACCATTTATCCGGATTCAATGTGTGCAATCGCTATCTGGTGGTGCTCTACTACCAATCCAACAAGGCCTTCAAGCGCGTGGACATGGACAAGAAGCAAGAGGAGCTGAACAACATCAAGGCCAAGTACAATCTGAAGACGCCGGAGGCTCCTTAGAAACACCACGCGGTGCGGCAGGCGGGGATGGGGATGAGCCCCACCAGATGACGCCCCATTTCCACCAACCATTTTCCATTGTTTAGGGAACTTCTCGCTCTACTTATATGTATACCAAATTTTTGCTATCTACTTGTAGATTTTTTTGATCGCATTTTGTATCATTTGAATCTAATCATTATCATCCATCCATCACTCCATCTATCATATGAACGGACGGATTTCGCGAAAGGCAGCCATTTGCCTCCCAGATCCGTCTGTTTGCAATCATTTGACGACATTAAGACACTCTCTCATCAAATAACAAGCAAGTAAAAGTAAAAATACAAAAAAATTGAAAAACTAGAAGAGGTTGTTTAATGATTTTGGATAGGTTTCTCGAGGGATTTTAAGATTGCTTTATTCATGGTATTAAAACTATTATTTTTTGCTTAAATAACACCCAAAAACATTTCAGGTTTACACAGACTGCTTCGTCTTTAGGCAGATTCATTTAAGTAAAATAAAAAAGATTATTTGCTTACTTATAACTAGGGTAACAATTAAGTCATAGTTAAATATTAACCAACAATTAAAACTCCCACTCATTTGGGGAGTCTTGAAGCCTTATGGAAACCTTCAACTTCTTTCCGATCAAGATTCCTCCTGGGATTCAGTATTAGTCTGGCCAGCTGCCGCTGCTTGATACTGTTCGTAGGTGTTCTGCTGCCTCTCCAGTGCCCGTTGGTTCTCCAAATCCTTGAGCTCCTCCTTGGCGGCCTCGGCAATTTCCTGCCGGAGCGCCTCCACCTTCCGTCTTCGCTCACTTTTCTGCATCGCCTTCTGACGAGCTCTTTCGCTAATTTCCTTAGGTGGTCTTGGAGGCTTTGGGGGCTTTTCGTCATGGACCTTCTGGTGACGGATGAGAGCTGCTTCCTGGCGGAAATGTGTGCCGCAAACCTTGCACTCGTACGGCTTTTCGCCAGTGTGTATCCACTCGTGTTGCTTCAGAGATTGGGAATTGGCGAAGCGACGTGAGCAGAAGCGGCACTCAAAGTCCTTCACCTTCTCGTGGACGCTTTTGTAGTGGCGCTTCATGTTGCCCAGGTTATTGAATCCCTGACTGCAGCCGGGACACAGGTGCATGCCCTCCTTCTGGACAAACTTCGTGCGGGCTGGCACTTCGCTGGGCGGCATCTGAACGGTGGGAATGGGATTCACCACGGTTCCCGCCAGTTGGGACAGGTCAACTCGCTCAACGCGGCGAGGATCCCTCGGTATGGTGGCCACGGATTCGGCACACACCTTTAGCAGCTGATCCGCGTCCACTTGGGCGTCTAAGGCCTCACCATCTCCTTGCCTTTGCCTATATGTTTCCAAAGCCCTCTCCACGCTCTTTTCGTGGATTTTTAGATGTTTCGTAAGGCTTTCCGTGTAAAGGAACTTCTTCCCACAAACCTACAAAGAAAAATCACGTTAAACAAAGACAATATTAAAGTACAATCCTTTTCCTAACCTTGCACTCGCAGCGCTTTTCCCCGGTGTGAGTCATCTCGTGGATTTTGCAGGCGTGGGATTTCCCAAAGGTCTTCCCGCAGTACTGGCAAGCAAAGTTCCTGATTTTCTCGTGCACAATCTTCACGTGGCTATCCAGAGCCCGCTTTGTGTGGGTGGCATGATCGCAGATGTGGCATTTGAACTGCTTCTCCTGGGTGTGGGTTAGGAGGTGCTTGCTCCACTCCTGCCGAGTGGTCTTCCCCACTCCGCAGTACGGACACACGTAGTTCTTGATCCCGGCATGTCGGAGAAGATGATTCTTCAGGGCACTGTTAATGTGGAAGCCCTTGCCGCATATGTTGCAGGGATAGGGAAGCTCCTCGCCGGTGTGCTTATACATGTGCTTCTTGAGAGCCACCGGACAGCGGAAGACCGCGCCGCACTCACCGCAAGGCTGCTCCACCCGCGGAGCACTGACCCTCGCCTGGTTGTGAACTTTTTTCAGGTGAATGGTCAGCAGGCGGAGGCGGGGAAACACTAATCTACAGCCCTCTACGGTGCATGGTATCTCATCCGCCTTCTTTGTATGCGCATAGTCCACGTGGAGACGCAGTGCACCGGCTGTGGTGAAGCCCTTGCGGCAGCTGTCCTCCTCGCATTGAAAAGGCAGCAGGTCATTGTGGTGCTTCATGTGCTCCTCAAACTTCGAAGGCTTCTTGAACTTCTGCTGGCAGATGGGACAGGATATCAGGCGTTGAAGGCGACGCTCGTCGCTGGGAATCCTCCGCCGCCTGGCCAAGGGTTGTTCATCATCGCTGGAGAACGTTTCCTCCGGCTTCTTGTTTAACTCCTCGTCCTCCTCTTCACTGGATGAATCCTCTTGGTCATGTTCCTCCGGTTCCCTGTCCACAGTGTTTAGCATCTTAAAGACTTCCTCCTCGTTCTCGATCAGCTCCATCTTGTGATTTAGCAGAGGATCAAAGCTGGCCTGCTCCTCTTGCCTTCCCGTTGGCTCGGAATTTTCCGCCACGGGCTCAAAGTCACCCATTGGCGTAATCCTATTGCTGGCCACCATTTCCTTGAAGCGCTTTATGGATTCCACACACAGTTCCCGGAAATCATGCAGGTCGTTCAGCTTGGTGAAGCACTGGGCGCACAACTTCTTAGGGAAGCCGTCGCTCTGATCCGCCTCCAAAGAAGTAAGTAAAACCAGTTTCCTGACCAGATCTGGGACCAGGAACAGATCATGGCTATCACCCTGCTCCAGGTGGATAAGGCAGATGCGGCACAGCGAGTGGACGGAGTACTGGAGCTCCCTGGTGCCCATTTCTCCCGATTCTCGGGAAGATTCCGAACCGAGCTTCAAAACAAATTTGTTGCAGTGTGTCAGCCAGTGTGACCGTCGCGCTCTGCTCTTAACCCATTTCAGTGCGGAGGGTGCCAATACGACCATTATGATTTTATTAACAAGGAAAGCCGTGTAATATTTCAGAGGAAATTAAATATTTATAAACAATCGAATTTTATTTGAAAGAGGTAAATTAAGACTGCAAACATATATATTTTAAAGGAAGATACAAAACATCTTCATTAGGGTAAAAATTAAATCAATTAAGTATAAGCAAATTAATAAGTAAATTAATATTAACAAAGAATTTTTATAAACAATCTACTTTTCGAATCAGGCAACTGAAGTAAACTTACAACTTATAAAAATGTTATAGTTGGTACTATTTGTAACTATTTATTTAAGAACTTGCTCCCGTAGCCATAGTACTGCTGATATATAGCAGCATTTCCAAGCCATTTCTTTTCTCTATAAATATTATACAAAATCGGATAAGAATTTTAGTTGGTAAATTGTAAAGGCCCATCGAGGGTTAATCCAATACGAAGTCGTTGTCCAGCCCTGGAATACGCTGCGAGTAGGCACTTCGACGAGTCGCTCGCTGGCAGACGTACCTGCTTATTGCCCACTCGCCCGATTGCCAGTCGACGAGTATACAATTTTTTCTGTGTCAATATTATTTTATTGCTTACTGCCCGGAGAGAGACGCAAAAAACTGTAGAAAACCGCCCCGATCCGCAGTGCCGATTGCGAGTGAAAGCAAGATGAACGAGGGCAGGCAGTACTCGATCCACAGCCTGTGCAGGATCTGTCTGAACCACCTGCAGAACGACGCCGCCTACGATTTGTATCTGGTGCCAGGACTCTCCAAGAAGCTCTGCTTCTGCACATCCCTGTCCGTGGAGCAGAACGACGGCTTCCCGAAGAACCTGTGCACCCTGTGCTACACCAAGCTGAACGAGCTGCACGACTTCCAGAGGCAGTGCGTCGACTCTGTGCAGAAGTTCCAGGACCTGGTGGCCAGCAATGTCTTCGCCTGCCAGAGCAACTTCGACGTCCTGGATCCCAATGTCGCCGTGCAGGACTACCAGGGCGAGGACGAGGACCACGTCAACTATGATCCCCTGCTGAATCACAAGATGGAGCTGATCGAGAACGAGGAGGATGTCTTCAAGATGCTGGAGCACGTCGACAAGGAGGCCGAGGAGGTGGAGAACGGGGCCAAGGTGGAGGAGGATGACAAGGGCAACGTATCCATCAAGATGTTCGACGACGACTCCTCCATCGAAAGCGGCAACGACAACGACCACGACCTGGACTTCGAGCCGAACAGCAGCGATGATGACATTCCGCTGGCCCAGCGCATGCGGGGACCAGCTACCGGATCCGGATACCAGCCATCCCGCTCGTCCAGCCAAAACAAACCCAAACCGAAGCCCAGGGGTCGACCCAAGAAGATTAAGCCGCCACCGCCCGACGAGGAGTACATAAGTGGCTCTTCCTCCGAGTCAGATGACTCCGAGGACGGCAATTCGCGGGGAGACAAGCCCAAGAGGAAGCGCATCCCCATGGAGGAGCGCCACCTGCACCGCATCATCGACTGCCACATCTGCCACCAGAAGTTCAAGAAGGCCATCCGTTACGAGGAGCACATGAAGTACCACAACGACCTGCTGCCCTTCCAGTGCAAGGTGGAGACCTGCAAGAAAGGTATGGAACAGGTATATAACTTCTTCAGAAGCGTGTGTTCATTCTTTCTCATTTTTCAGGTTTCACCACCGCCAACGGGCTGCGCATCCACATCGACCACGCCCACACGGAGCTGTCCGAGGTACATGCCTGCATTGCCGAGGGCTGCGGTAAGACCTTCCCGCGCGTCCGCCTACTGACCTTCCACATGAAGAAGGTCCATGGCATAACCAAGGCGGCGGCCCCGCTGCGCGACTTCCCCTGTCCGGAGTGCGACACCGTCTTCCGCTGTCCCACGGCGCTTAAAAAGCACATGTACAAGCACACGGGTGAGGAGCTGCCGTATCCTTGCAACATCTGCGGCAAGCGGTTTGTGATCAACAGTGCTTTAAGGGATCACCTGATGCGACATGCGGGCATCAAGAACCACGTATGCCCGTACTGCGGAGTGGGCAAGACGACGCGACAGGAGTGGAACGCCCACATCCTCACGCACACCAAGGAGAAGAAGTTCAAGTGCCGGCAGTGCGACCACGCCTCGCACAACAAACAGGCTCTGTCCAATCACGTCAAGGTGGTTCACGAGAAACGCAAGGACTTCGCCTGCCAATACTGCGGAAAGACCTTCGGCAAGAGCCACGCCTGCAAGGTGCACGAGAGGAGTCACACCGGGGAGAAGTGCTGCGAGTGCAAGATCTGCGGCAAGATCTTCCTTTGCGAGAAGAGCCTCACCAAGCATTTGAAGACACACGAGAAACGGGATCTCCCGCCGGCAGAGCCCCTTCGCCAGCAGCTCAACATTCCCATGCCCGGCCAGATGCCTGGACAAATGCCCGGCCAAATGCCAGGCCAGATGCCAATGCAAATGCAGGCCGATGGTTTGGTTCAGATGGATCCCAATCAGATGCCCAGTGAAGAAATGCTCAAGGCGTGCGGCGGCGGGTCCGCTGCAGTGCCTCCCAAGCCGAAGAACTCACGGCGCGTCCAACGGGTGGACATTTCCCAGCTGGCCGGCACCGCAGTGAATCCCATACCTTCCGTCTCCGTGCCCTCGTGGTCGCCGCAGGTGAACTTCACCAAGAAGGAGGGCCAACACATCTGTCCCGGTTGCGGACGTGGCTTTAACAACATTGGAAACATGAAGCTCCACTACAAGATCATCCACGAGAAGGTCAAGGACTTCGCCTGTCGCTTCTGCCCCAAGAGATTCTCCAAGGCGCAGATCCTGCGCCACCACGAATGGATCCACACCGGAGAGAAGCCCTTCGAGTGCAAGATCTGCGGCAAGCACTTCCGCCAGGAGACGGCGCTCAAGAAGCACATCAAGACGCACGAGAAGCCCAACAGGAGGCACGTGCCCGAGCGCAGTGCACCCACCCAGATCACGTTCCGCAAGCTGGAGCCGGATGCCGAGCCGCGGAATTTCGACCAATACCAGGATCCGGCGGTGGAGCGTGCGGCAGCCACAGCCGAGCTGCTGGCGCACCAGCTGGAGGAGAACGAGGCCAAGCGGAAGGCGGACATCGAACGGCAGAAGATCGCGGCGGCGGCCTGCGAGCAGCTGACGAAGCTGCAGCAGCAACAGGAGATTATGAAGGCCACCACCTCGTACGATGGCTACTACGCGCAGAAGGCCCAGGCCGAGGGCACCAGCATGGACGCCCTGAAGATCGACCACGTCTAGGCTCCCGGATCGGCCTTACTTTACGAGTACATATATATACACTAGCGACATATGTATCCACTTCTACAGCAGCTGTCACTGTCCGGAAAGTTTTTAAGCATGCCTCGAATTGCTCTCTAGCTGGATCAGATTGTAGTTTTATAAACACTCTTAATTACTCGAGTACATATTACAATATGAACACTTCTTATTTTTACATACGTTTATACATACATGCAATATATGTATTTTGTTTTTCCGTGTAATGTCTCCCGTGCTTACTTAGAGTAATGGATTAAAAATAATATACATAACGCCATTGGAGTTTCCTTTTAGCGGGAGGGATTGTAAAGAGCGCTTTGCAATACCAGTGATTTTTATAATAATAAAGTGAAAACATTTTTTTTACCCACAAAAACATTACCTAGAAAACTCTTAAGTTTACTTTAAGTTAAGTGATTTATTAGTACACAGCTTATTTTAAATACAGTTTTACAAATATGTCTTGATTTCAAATTTAGATGAATAAACATTTATATAAACAAATATCTAAAATATTTCGAAAACTTCAATGTGAAATATCAAGTAAATTTGGTATACAACTATTTAAATTAATTATTAGTTTCTTAAAGACATGGAATATAACATATCAGTCTTCTTTATAATGGTATCCGAATTTGCAGGGGTATTACTGGGAAAATTCTTTTTCTTCATCTTCATCTGATTTTTTTGATGGTGCCTCACTGTTCAATAGATCTGTTGAATCCTAAAATACATATTTTAATCTAAATAATTATTTCAAGCTGGGCATAAGACTTAACTATTAGGTTACTCCCAGTATCATTATTTAATCCCAACAGCGTTGAGAAGATCAATTCACCCTCCTTTCTGTTGTCCTCGGCCTTCTGCAGAACCTTCCTTTGCTTCTCCAGGATCTCTTCCAGCCTAGTGACCTCCAGTTTGAGCCTGTTATTTTGGGCACCGGCATTTTGTAATGCTAGTGTAGTACCCAACATTCTAGCCTCTTCTTCAAGCACTTCTATGAGATTTTTGTCTGGTTGCTCCATTTTGTTTATTAAACTTAAATTTCAGCACCTCGTTTTTAGGATTGATAAAAGTCGGACTACTGTGTTAGAAGTTGGAGTGGCTGCCATAGAAACTATCCATAGAAACGTATATCCTTGTTAAAATAAATAATTTAGTAGAAATGTGTAAATATTATTCTCAAAATAGTTTCCTTAAAAATAAATTTTTTTGAGTACAAATTCTACATTAGGTGAAACTACTGCCAACTTAAACAAAGCGAAAACAAGTAAAATATTCTTGTTAATATCCTTATATCCTTTTCTTAAAAAAAGTATTATAAAATTATATATTGGTTTTTTGTTATTCCCTTATAGTCTTTTGAAAATTCCAATAGGATGAAAAGTGAATTATTTTACTTTCAGAATTATACATTGGATTAAAACTATTGCCAAGGCAGTTAGAAAGAAAAAGTTACTGTTCGTTATAAATTTGATTTAGGAAATCTTTTATTTTTAAATTAATAATTATTTATATTTAAAAAAATAGATATGGGTTAATTTACAATTTTTTTAGGTTTGCTTAAATTAAACACATATGCTAACTTTAGTTTTGTAACTGTACAATGCTAATAGTTAACTTATATATGTGCATAAATAAATAAATAATAAATAAATATTATTGTGACCCCGACTGTCTACCCCTCCTCTGCGCCCATGTGTGCATGAGAAAAACAAAACAAAACGCCTTAGTGTGGGTGGGCGAGTGCTAGAGCTGCGCAGTTTTGCGGCGAGTCAACTCGCTACTTGCGGTCAATCGATAACCGAATTGCTGACGAGCGTGCACACAGACGCACACACACGCACAGGCGAGTACACACAAATGTGTGTTGTATTGGATTTTTTTCTCGACAGAGAACATTTCGGATTGCTGCAGTTTTCGGAATTTTGGGATTTCGGGATCGCCCAGCGTCGAATTGAGTGTCCATAATGAACGAGGGGAGCCAGTACTCCATCCACACGGTGTGCCGCACCTGCCTGTCCACGCTGGACGACGCGGCGGCCTACGATCTGTTCCGGGTGCCCGGCCTGGCCAAAAAGCTGTGCGTGTGCACCTCCTTGTCCGTGGAGCAGGCGGACGGCTTCCCCAAGAACCTGTGCACCCTCTGCTTCTCCAAGCTGAACGAGCTGCACGACTTCCAGAAGCAGTGCGTCGACTCCGTGCAGAAGTTCCAGGACCTGGTGGCCAGCAACGCCTTCGCCTGCCAAACCAGCTTCGATGTCCTGGACACCGGTGTCCCCGTGGCGGATATGCCCGGCGAGGAGGAGGACAATGTTCACTTTGATCCGCTGCTTAACTCCAAGATCGAGATCATCGAAAACGAGGAGGATGTGTTCAAAATGCTCGAGACCGTAGAGAAGGAGGTCGAGGAGGTGGAGATGGAGATGGAGCAGCCGTTCGCCGACGAATCGCAGGACGACTCCTTCGAGAGCGGCAACGATAACGACCTGGACGCGGACTTTCAGCTGAACAGCAGCGACGACGACATTCCGCTGGCCCAGCGCAGCCGACGCGGTGCTGCCCGTGGTCCCAAGGCCAAGGCCAAGTCGAAGGCGGCCGCCAAGCGGCAGGCGGAGGATGAGTCCGAGGAGACCAGCTCCTCGGAGGACTCCGACGGCAACCCCAAGGAGAAGGCCAAGCGCAAGAGGATTCCCGCCACGGAGCGGGATCGCCACCGGCTTATTGACTGTCACATCTGCCACCAGAAGTTCAAGAAGGCTATCCGCTACGAAGAGCACATGAAGCATCACAACGACCTGCTGCCTTTCCAGTGTACCGTCGAAAGCTGCCGGAAAGGTAATCTCAGTATTTAAAATCATCAGGAAAGGATATATATGTGTTTATTCTTATTTACAGGCTTCACCACCGCCAATGGACTGCGGGTCCATGTGGAGCACGCCCACACGGAGACATCGGCCATGCATCCGTGCACCTACGAAGGCTGCAACAAGTCCTTCGCCCGGCCCGTGCTGCTCAGCTTCCACATGAAGCGGGTGCACAAGGTGGACACCCCGCAGAGGGACTTCCCCTGCACGGAGTGCGAGAAAGTGTTCCGCTGCCCCACCGCCCTCAAGAAGCACATGTACAAGCACACCGGCGAGGAGCTGCCCTTCGCCTGCGAGATCTGCGGCAAGCGTTTCCCGATCAACAGTGTGCTGCGCGATCATCTCCTGCGGCACGCGGGCATCAAGAACCACGTCTGCCCGTACTGCGGAGTGGGCAAGACGACGCGGCAGGAGTGGAACAAGCACATCCTGACCCACACCAAGGAGAAAAAGTACGAGTGCCGGCAGTGCGACCACGCATCCCACAACAAACAGGCTCTGGCCAACCACGTGAAGGTGGTGCACGAGAAGCGCAAGGATTTCGCCTGCCAGTACTGTGGAAAGACCTTTGGCAAGTCGCACGCCTGTAAGATTCACGAGCGGAGTCACACCGGGGAGAAGTGCTGCGAGTGCAAGATCTGCGGCAAGGTGTTCCTCTTCGAGAAGGGCCTCACCAAGCATTTGAAAACACACGAGAAACGCGACCTGCCCAAGACGCAGGGGGCCCTAACAGGCGACGGGGCCAGTGGCTCTTCAACGATTGCGAAGCCCAGTCCGCACCTACGAGGTCGCGTCGAACGGGTGGACATCGCCCAGCTGGCGGGAACGGTGGCCAATCCGATTCCATCGGTCAACCTTCCCTCGTGGTCGCCGCAGGTTAACTTCACCAAGAAGGAGGGCCAACACATCTGCCCAGACTGCGGCAAGGGCTTTAACCACGTGAGCAACATGAAGCTTCACTACAAGGTGGTGCACCAGAAGGTGAAGGACTTCTGCTGCCGCTTCTGCCCCAAGAGATTCGCCAAGAAGCAGTATCTGCGCCACCACGAGTACATTCACACCGGCGAAAAGCCGTACGAGTGCAAGGTGTGCGGCAAGCACTTCCGCCAGGAGCAAGTGCTTAAGACGCACATGAAGGTGCACGACAAGCCGCCCCGTCCGCCGGGCAAGCCCAAGGAGCCGGCGGGACCTAAGGCCGAGACCAGCACCACGGTGAAGCGGCAGCAGCCGAAGAACTTCGAGCAGTACCAGGATCCGGCCGCGGAACGGGCTGCGGCTACCGCCGAGCTACTGGCCTACCAGATCGAGGAGAACGAGGCCAAACGCAAGGCGGAGGCGGAGCTCCGGAAGATCCAGGAGGCGGCCTACGAGCAGCTCAACAAGCTCCAAAAGCAGACAAACACGTACGACGGCTTCTACGCACAGAAGGCGGAGGCGGAGGGCACTTCGGTGGATGCCCTGAAGCTAGACCACGTTTGAGCCGCACTATAAACCGGAAGTAATTGCAACCAATCCCGTTTCCGCATCCGTTTCCGATCCCTTTCATTATGTGTTTCTATGAAGGACATATGAGTTATAGGTCTCTAAGGTTTACCAACTAGTTTTCCCCACTTTGCAAGCATGTTTTTACTTTTTTGTATTTAAACCATCCCTCTCAGCTGCTTAAGTTTGTACTCTACTAATTGTATTCCCTTATAAATGATTTTATTGACTTAAATTTAATAAAATAAACAGTAATAAGTAATCAAAATTTGAATTCCAAATTTCAGTGTTGGTAAATGGAGAATGTCGTGGGTAGCGACATTACAGTCCACCTGGCTTTTTTCTAGCCAAATGCGGATTTAGTTTTCTAGTATCAAACATTGGTGCAACATTTTTGTAGGCTTTTAATTTTTTTAATAAACAATGAAATAAATGTTTCAGCTGCTCACACTTGGTAAGTTTAAAATGTTCCATAAATGTAGTTTTTATTTTTTTAACTACATTTTCTAGCCACTTTTAATTTTTGGCTACCCCACTTTGCATCACTGGCGAGTATTTTTTGGTATTTGTTTTGGTTTTTCTGACGCGTAAAGTTTTTCTCGGCTTATTAATCCGTGGTTTTGGCCAATAGATTCCCTCTGGAGCAGGCAACATGGAGGAGGAGGCCGCCCAGTACTCGGTGCACGCGGTGTGCCGCATCTGCCTGAATCGCCTGCCGGAGGATGGCGGAGGACCGGGATCCTTTGACCTCTTCCTGATTCCCGGACTGGCCAAGAAGCTATGTTTCTGCACTTCACTGGCGGTGGAGCAGTCAGATGGCTTCCCCAAGAGCCTGTGCACGCCGTGCTACACCCGATTAGACGACCTACACGAGTTCCAGAAGCTGTGCGTCGACTCGGTGCAGAAGTTCCAGGACATGGTGGCCAGGAACGTCTTCTGCTCGCCCGCCAGTTCGCAGATGAAAACCTTCGATGTATTGAATGTGGCCGGGAACGAGTCCGAGTTGGTGGGCCAGGAGGAGGAGGACCGAATCAACTTCGATCCCCTGCTGGACCACAAGATGGAGCTGATCGAAAACGAGGAGGATGTGTTCAAGATGCTGGAGCACGTGGACAAGGAGGCCGAGCAGGTGGAGAAGGAGGTGAAGCAGGATGAGATGGATGCCGCCGATCTGATGACGATCTTGGCGGCGGATTCCTCGGAGGAAAGCGACGACGACTTGGAGCAAGACGTGGACTTTGAGCCCAACAGCAGTGATGGTGACGATGATGTTCCCTTGGCCCAGCGCCTGAGGCAGAATTCTCGAGTCAAACCGAAGGCCAAGAGACACCAAGTCAAGGAAGAGGACCTTGAGTTCATAACGGGCTCCGAAGACGAAGATGATGAAGAGGGGGAGAAGTCGAAGGGCAGGCGCCGGAGGATTCCGCCCGGCGAACGTCATCTGCACCGCATCATCGACTGCCATATCTGCCATCAGAAGTTCAAGAAGGCCATCCGCTACGAGGAGCACATGAAGCACCACAACGATCTCCTGCCCTTCCAGTGCAAGGTGGAGACCTGCAGGAAAGGTATGCAGTGATAAGGGTTGCCCTCCTCAAAGAAGATTTCTCATCCATTTGCGATTTTAGGTTTCACCACGGCTGGCGGATTAAGGCTTCACATTGACCACGCCCACACGGAGCTATCCGAGGTGCACTCCTGCAGTGTCGATGGCTGCGGCAAGACTTTCCCGCGCATCCGCCTGC